AATACATATAGTTTGCTTCCAACCCCAAAAATAACTTTCTCCTGTCCCAAAGATGGGATTTCAGGTGACTGTTAGGTGATCTGTATGACATGAATCACCAGCTAAATTTACAGTATATTCACTTCAGATTGACATAGCTGAGTTCTCATTAGTGAGGGTGTGCAAGATAGAGGAACTCAGAACATGTCACACTATCAGGATATCCTTCAATACAAGATGCTCATTTTACCCATCATTTTGTTTTTTGTTAATATACTGTGCTTTCTGTTATTATTTTTATTTCAGTTAAAATTAGCATCCATGCTCAGTCTATAAAAATTTTTAATTCACAGACATCTAGCTAGGAAGAAGTAATTTGTTTAGGTACAGAAGGTTTGATTTTTAGTTGCCCAGATTAAAGATGTAAAAATACATCTAAATGTTTATTTGTGCTATTTCTCCAATATTAAAGGTAATGGGGGAAATGTGCTAGTTTTCAAGCCTTCTGCTGAACATTTTTCCATTGTTAAATCATTTAGCATCTTTTCCTTTGTGCTTCTACTCTTGAACAGTATTTGAATTTAATTTTTCCCCCCAAAACACTTCAGAAACAGTCCTTGGTTGTTTTTTTCACGACTTGTTTTCCTTATTACTTTTCTGGAAAGAAGCTTTGAGGTATCCAATTCGAAGCAGAACATTCAGATTCGGTCACAGTTTTTTTTCCCCCCATATAACATCAACCTTGTGAACTCTCAAGCTTCTTCTTTCCACTATGTATTCAAAATGGACAGTGATTAGTGTGTATGTGTGTGTTTGTTTGTATGTATATAGCACGTGTATATGTGTGTTGTGTATGTGGCAACAGAATTTCAATTTTAATGGGTGTCAGTGTGCTCACAGTAAAAAATGACAATAAAAGTTATTTTATCTTACAATATAAAGAATTGTTATTTTATCATTGAGAGAACATTCCATTGGACCAGAGTATATTTGCACTGCTATTGGCAGAATGCTGGAATCCTGTTACCATTACACAAGACACACCTGGTAACTCACTGTTGCTCAACACAACTGTCCCATTGCAGATAAGTAACAGAACCAAGTTGATTTTAACAGCTTTTCTGTGTTGAAATCATGGTATGTATCTTTTCGCAAACCATTTCTCCATCTTTTGCCTGAATGCTAGAGAAAGTGTAGTGAGTACAGTATATCAAAATTCATTTTTCTGTTTAGCATTAGAGGAATTGTATGCTATGATTTCAGTCCTGTGTAGACTTATGTGGACACTACTTCCATTGAATTTACCAAGGGAAATGCTTTTATTTATTTATTTGTGCTGTGAAAGATAGTGTAATGTTTACAACAATTTTACATGCCCTTATTTAAATTATTTTTAGATTTTATGGGGCATTTTTAATAATATGCTAATAATACCTCAAACTTTACTGAATGATAACCATTACTTGAAATTATGTAGGTTTTCCTAAGCAGACCTCAACACATCTAGCTTGATCCTTGGCTAAATGTATACAGAATACCATATACTGTAAACATGAAATAATTTTTGATATGGTAATATCTGTAAAATAATAAAAAGCCTCCATATTTTATTCAATGGTAAACAGAGAAATCAATATATTACTAGGGTTAAATTATGTTTATGTTCTAACAATTACTCTCACATATATTAAGGTAACATGCTCTTTGTAATGTAAACTTTCCTTATAATATTAAGTAGTACTGTTTCCTACTAGGGCAGTATCCTTGAAATATTCCCTTCTAAATCCCATTCTCAGTTCTGAAGTGTTTACATACCTATGTGGTCAATACAGCTGCTTTTTGGATATTACTGAAATTTTCATCCTCAAGCTTATGGGTCTGCAAACACATATCTGTACTTAGATTGATTTTTCACTATAGAGAGTTCAGTAGCGCTTTTCTTTTCTTTTTCTTTTTTAATAAAGTTTTATTTGGGTTTTCGCACATACAAAATACAAATAAAACATCTTTTTTGAAAATAGCATGGTCCTGGGTTGAACTTCTTTATAAAGACACAAAACTCAATTTCATGCTCCTTTTTGTGTTCTATGTGTATTCCATATCTTATACTATTCTACATTTTCTATATAGTTTTTCCCCTCTTTTAATTTTCTCAATTTTATTTTGATTAACTCATCTCAATTCGAATCATTATATTTATACTTTTGTCTGTTCTGTTTCAATTTCATATTATCTTTTCTCATTAAACAAATTTTCTCCTGTAGTTACTAATTGGAGTATGACACCTTTATATCTTTTTATTACATCCATTCAACTCTTATTTAAACTTCAATATATACCTTAAGGTTATGACCTTTAATGTAATACATAATACATAACTTCCAATCAAATTCTGCTTGGTACATTCTTATAATACACACTATATTCTTTTTTTAAAAAAGATTATAAATATATGTAATTATAAACCCTCATTCCATTCCAATTCAGTTCTATCATGAATAATCATTAAAATCTTAGCATCTTTAACACTTCTTTTCAATTAAATATCATACTTCCTAAAAGACACATATAATCTCCATAATTAATTTTTCCCTTATTTCTCTTCACATATGTTTTGTAAATCATTAAATATTCATTTTGTTACATTTATTTATTGACAAGCATTCCACTGAATTACGATAGCTATTTTATCAAACATTTTAATTATACATTGTTTCATATTTTCTAAAATTATTTCTGTTTCTAATATAACAATACTATCTTATGTACCTTTGCAGAATCCCTTTTTCCATTAATTTTTCACCCATTATCTCTAAATAGGCCCTGTTTCTCTATATTTTGTTTCTGTCCTTTATAACTTCTTTACCTTTCTTTCTTCCCTCTCATCTTCTCCCTCCCCTTTTTACCCCTTGTCTCTCTACTTCTAATTCTCTCTTCTTCATTTCCCTCTTCTGTTGCTTTCTGATTTTATACTTATTTTTCACTCTATTTTGGGGGGGGGGGAATTGTTTTTCCCAATCTTAAACTTTCCATTCTCTTTCCCCCCCTTTCCTTTTTTCCCCCCACCTAAAATTACTTGTTCATTAAAGATGGCTTCTTCTTTGTCACAATCTTTTTGTTCTGCAGGCATTTCTTGTTGTTTCTCATAATTCCAAATCTCCATTTCTAAAAACTGAAATATGAAGCCAAAAGATCCTCTCCTTTCTTGTGCATCTTCTTTGTATTTTTAAAGTTCTATTTTCAGTTCTTCTAAAAGTGGAGCCATTTTAAACAGTTTTAAACAACCACCCAATTGATTTTAGTCATTCAAATACAATAACCAAAACTCCAGAAATCATCAAGTAATCCAAATAGTCCTGAGTTATATCTTCTTATTTCTTTTTCCACTTTCTCTTCCTGGGGTTTTTGTTGCGATATTTCAGTTAGAATGTATCTTTTGGAAGTCTTGTTGAGATTTTGCTGTAAGTTCTTTTTAATTCCAGGCAGTCTCCTCCCTTCCAGATCCTGCCCTTTTATTCTTTTTCTCTCCTTTCCTGTTTTCAAAAGCTTTTGATTATCCAGAAATCTTTATTATCCCTTTGACTTTTTATTTTCAGCATTAAATGCCTATTAATGTCAAAGTGGATTTTTTTCCAATTTCTTGCTTAAGTCTCTTAGCTATCAGTATAGGAAAAGGAGAAAAGAAAACCAAATCTTTTCCCTTTTCTCTCTCCTTCGCAGTTTAAAAATCTTCTTAGGGAACAATGTTATTGTTTTTTAATAGTTTCAATTCCAGGGTACCTTATTTGTTGCTTTTGCTGTTTGACCCGATCAACCAAAACTTTCTCCTCTTATCTTCCTCCTGCATATTCTTTTCCGGTTGAGTTCTTCTTTGTGGTGGCCATTTCTGACCACCGCTGCAACCGCCTTCGGGAAAGGGAGTAATGGCCAGCTGGGGAGGACCCTGCAGGCAGTGTCCCCCCACTTCACCACCTCTACGGGGTGGCTTAGCCCCGAAACCAGCCAGCTCGGGCGCTCCAGCGGCGAGCACAGATCGACGCCTTGCAGAGACGAGGTTTCGGTCTGTCGCTGAAGAAGCTCAAACCGGAAGCACCTAGTAGCGCTTTTATTTTCTATCTGTAGTCACAGAATGTGCACTTTTGTAGCCCTCTGAATGTCTGAGAGAGCTATGTATAAATTCTGAATATCTGTATGCCTTTCAGCATATACTGTAGATATTGTATGTTTTCAGTCTGAAATCTGAAACGTTTCTATTGATAACTGGCATTAAATTTGAATGGTTAGTAAATTAATTAGAAAATGAATTACGTGTATTAACTCACATCCTTATCTGACTCATATTAATTAAGTTATAGTTGACTTTTGAGTAAATAAATTGTATTATCACAAGTTAACATGTAAATGCTAAAATACTCATTGTTTGAATATTGGTATGGAATAAAAGTAAAAAAAAAATAAGCCAATTTTGTAAAGTCCAGTTCAGTATAGACATGTCAAGTACAGGTAGATTACCTTAGCGGTAATCGGGATCACAATTTCCATTGCTGAGTGTTGCAGTCACAAAGCTTGACTGCTTCACAGCAAGGCAGTTCTGGCAGTCACATGACTGTGCCTATTATCAATGGCAGTTCTGGCACTACCCAGTTATTGGCATTAAGTGTAGACTTCAAATGACCATCACTTTGAACTTTCTGCCAACTTCTCTGGCTTTGCTTGTGGGAGGCTGGTAAGAAAGGCATAACTCATGTTCATGTGATTGTCACATGCTGAGAGGAAAACTGGGCCAGTTCACAAGTCCCAGATCATAATCCTGTAACTGTGGGAGCACTGCACTGGCCAGAACTTCGAGGACCAGTCATATCTACCTCTCGTTCAACACACAATTCAAACAATTACTGAACGAGTGGTCATTAAACAAGAACCACTTGTATATCTTCAAGTAAATATGTTACTGTTACTTTCTTTCCATTCTGATTCATCTATATTTTTTTGTTTTTTCCTAGCCTTTTCTATCTAATATTTATTACCCATTTCCGCTGCCTACATCTCAACATTATTGGATGAATATGCCAGGTTCTACATTTCCTGTGAACTTCCAGCGCACCAGTGACTTTTCGGGCAACATGCTACCCAGCCCCTCCATAATTCCAGCCTTTAAATTCCAGTTGCGGCGAGAAACAGTTGACTGGAGGCGATTCAGTGCTATTGATGTGGAACGTGTAGCTCGTGAGCTGGATCTTTGCACTCTTCAGGAAAATATCAACAGCATCACCTTTTGTAATCTTGATTCGGAGAAATGCCCCTATTGTCAGCAGCCAGTAGACCCTGTTCTCCTTAAGGTTCTGAAGATGGCCCAGCTGACCATTGAATATTTGTTGCACTCTCAGGAGTACTTAAGTATGAACCTGGCACTCCAGGAGGAGCAGCACCAGGCAGTTCTTGAAGACTGCAAGCGTATCAAGTATGATTTGGATAAGCAAGCAGAAGAATTAAAGGGGGTGAAGGAAGAGAGCAGGAGACGGAAAAAAATGATTGCCACTCAACAGCTGCTCTTGCAAGCTGGGGCCAACAACTACCACAAGGTGAGGTTGAGGTACAGCAAAATGCATGAGAAATTTATCTAGTCTGTATTTTAACACAAAACGTGCCCAATTTTTCAGAGACACACTGAAATTTGGCAATTTTTTTTAAGTTCTCAATTTTTCCAGTGGAGGGAAAAAAAGCCATAGAAAAATGCATATATGATTGAAAATGCAGTTCTTTATGGCGAACCACAGGTTGGTTCTTTCCTCTATCCTATTTAACCTCTACATGAAGCCACTGAGAGAAGTCTTTTGCCAGTTTAGAGTCAAGTCTTATCAATATGTTGAAGATATTCAGGCTTATCCAAACAAAAGAGAGTGGCTGTTCATAGAAAAGCCTCTTATTTCTGGAGAAGTACCAATTTTGCTTCTGAGTGGAATAGTGCTATCCCACAGAGGGCAAAGTAACAACTTAGGGATATTTATGAACTTATGGCTTCTCTGAATGAGTGGGTACCAGTAACATTATCTAAAACAGGAAGCACTGAAGATCACTTATGCACTTATCAACTTGTGCCTGGATTACTGTAGTTCACTTTACATGAGATTTCTCTTGCAGGTTTCCTAGTAACTTCAACTTAGTAGAAAATGCAATGTCACATATTCTTAGGGAGAGTCCTTTTACAACTCTTGTAGGAACTCCCTTAGTGTGTTTCCAACTGAAATTAAAAAGCTTTTGGCCTCTTGAGACTTGGGATTGAGACTGCCTTTCTCAGATAGATTCTGCCTGTCCGATCAAAGCCAATAGAGTATCTGCTGAAAGTCCTTACTGGTGTGTGGTTCAATCATGTCATGAAGGAATCATGAAGCAAACATTGTCTGTGGAATTTCCTCTTTTGAAACAACTTTGCCCTAGAAACAAGGAAACTCCCAGTTGCCTTCTAAATGTCACAGAACAGAACAGCCTTACAAAGTACCCAATTCATCTAAATGTTGCAATTATGTGTGTACATTTTTCTTCGAAACCATATGGAAAAGGTTTGCCATTGTCTTCTTCCCAGTTGATGCTGGAATTCCTCATAGTTAGTTTCCCTAATACCCACAGAGCTCTTTCTAATTTATCATTCATGTGGATTAGTTCTTAGTTTTCTGCTCTCATTTCAATTTTATTTTTTCAGCATATCCCATTATACCTATTTGCACGTAAATAAAGTCACATTTAGACCTATTTAGCACCCTGTTTTCACAGTAAAGATTGTGTTGCACATGTTTCTGACCATAATTATGCAGTGCTGGAAGCATGCAGACTTTGAATACATAAGACAATATTACAATTTCAGCAATTATTGGTAGAGGTAATACATTTAAAATTCCATAATAACATTGATTGAAATCTTTAATAATGGTTTATTAGAGACTGACATCTGAAAAATAGGAACTGTCCTAAATAACAATGACATCTAGCACAAATGCAAATGCAACATTCCAAGAAATATTAAAAAAAAATCTTTGTTTTTCTTCCACTGTTTCAAAGATTGGGAATATAAATTTGGATAAAAGTCTTTAAATTACCCTATTAACTCAAGATTAGAACTATTTTAAGTTTACAAAAAATATGACCCTAGGTTAAGGTTGGAGGTAGTTTTCAACCTATGACCACAATTGACCCCAAAACTTATGTTGCTAAAGAAGACATTTGTTAAGTGAGTTTTGTCCCGTTTTACAACCTTTCTTGCTACAGTTGTTAAGTGAATCATTGCAGTTGTTAAATTAGTACCAGTTGTTAAGTGAACATTGGCTTTGCTTGTCAAAAAGTCACAAAAGATGATAACATAAATATGAAGCATTTGCCAAGCATCCAAATTTTGATCATGTGACCATTACAACAGTTGTAAGGGTGAAAAATGGTCATAAGTCACTTTTTTCAATGCTGTTGTAACTTGAATGGTCACTAAATGAATGGTTGTAAGTCAAGGATTACCTGTACTCTTGTCCCATATGTGTCTTATAGCACTAGGAAAGGAAAATAAATGAGCAGAGAATGAGAACTACTTGGAGAAATTCTTCCGCCATCAGATTACATGCTTAATCTGTCCTTAGATGACTTTTTGTCCTATTTCTTAGTGCCAGCTCTGTGACAAGACCTTCATGAATTATTCCTTTCTACAAGGCCACATGGAGCGTCGGCACGCTGAAGCCACTGCACTTGGTAAGCACTAAGTTTGCTTGAATATTTCTTCTCTGGAGAGAATTCCAAAGGATTAGATTTGAGGAGGTGGGGGGGGAGGAGAAGATCACTTATTAACTGATTAATTCCGGCATTCAGAGGCTTGTTTATATACAATTTCAGAGTAAAGAGGGGAGATACATTGTGTGAAACTAAATTAATGTAGATTTTAATGTAACAAAGCATTTGCAATGAATCTTATATTGCCATCATGCCCAAACCACTGTGTATCTATCTTTACATAAAGGTGAAATGGACCTGGAGTTGGAAATATTGGTAAACTTTCTGAATCACTATATCCTCATCACAATTTTTATTTGTAATTTAAAATCTAAATAAAAGTTTGGAAATTTAGACTGTTAATTGTTTGCAGCATCTTGTCAAATTTTGGAGTTACATTTACATTTAATAAATGCCATGAATATTTTTTTTACTTTTTTTAATTTCAGTGGTTATATAACCTCTTTTGTCTTGAAATAGAAAATGCCAATTCATTTTTGAAAAAGTGAAAATGGTGAATTATTAATATCCTGTCTGTCTTATTGTCAATTTATATTCTGCCTTTATAATTTTTATAAATAACCCACGGTGGCAAATATATCCAGCCTGGTGTCCCAACCACCAAGCAAACTGGCTAAAACTTTGCAACTTTTGTTACAAAATGCATCTTCATTCTTGAGAAATAATTTAGCATAAAAATCTAGTGGAATTCCTATTTCAGCTTCTCTGTACAGCTTCAATTTCTGGTTGAGGCCCTCACTAACATTGCCTCTTTTTGAATTCACCTGAAGAGCATTTGAAGAAGAAACAGGTGCAGCAAATGGAAAGTGAGATCGAAGAACTGAAGGTCAAGTTGAAGGAGACCCAGGTCCAGCTGGAGGCTGAGAGTCAGCAAAGGGCTCTGGTATGAATTGTTAAGAATATGAATAAAAAGGAAAGCAAAAGTCAAATGCCTTTTGTCAAGGTGAAAACTAATTATAGGTAGACAAAATGGGAATAATTCATGTTCTGTCAAAAATGTCAGTGATGATACAGCAACAGGCCAATCTTTTCTGGGCCCAGAAGCTAAATAGGATCATTCTTAATTAGTATTTTAATAGATGCCCTCTGAGGAATATTAGGACTGTAGATTAAATTGGTAAAATGCATCTCCGATCTTGGCTAATAATTTAGAGAAAATTCAGAAGAAATAGCAGCAAAAGGCTGCTGTATTACTGGCTATCAATTACCCAGATGCATCCACGAATTTACCAGGAATTCAGCTCAGCTTGAAGGAGGATATCCTGTCTTCTACAATTGTTTGGGCCAGTTGATTTTTACAGGTAAAAACAAAATCAAATAACTCGGATAAGTTTATTGCTTCAGAATGATCATTATCACAGTCTCTGATTCCTCTCCAGTTGCTATTTGAAAACAATGACTAAATGTGAGGCTTTTTTTTTAGCTATAACATCCTAGCCTTTTTATTTGTGTGTTTGCCTGAACAATATTGGTGCATGACCCTACATTTTCCTTCATAGATAATACAATCAGAGGCTTATTTTCTAACCATGCAAATTCACCCCTAATCTAGCAGTAAGCACAATAAGTTGAATAGTACTTAAGGTGGAAATAAAGAACATATAATGTAAAAAAGCAACCAATGAAGTAATAAAAGTAATTTTTATAAAGTAATAAAATACTGTTTTGTTCCTTTATTAATTGAAATTTTAACTATTGTGTTAGAAAACAATTTTGCTGGATTATCTGCTCTAGTGGGATGGCCAGAATGGTAATGGATTCTTATCTATATGTAATGTTTTATAAAGTAAATTTCTCCAGCCTGTTGCCATATAGATGTATTTGATTTCCATCTCAGAATCCCCAGTCATAGTTAGAGGACATACTAATGCATAAGCTAAATAAGTTTTGCCTATCTCAAACAAGATCAGAAAACAACTGATCATTGAGATGTAACTATCAGGGTCATCTGTTGGCTAAATGATATAATGACAATGCCATCATCCTACTCTCAAATATCTACAAGTAGATCAAAATGGTAAACAGTTATTTGTACAACCATTTTGTTTGATAGCGTTAGGTTCTGCAAGACTGAAATGAAATCCCAATAAACTTAGTGGGACATAGATTGTACTGCAAATATTTGTGATAGTACAAACTGTCCTTGCAAGTTACTGTCTTTCAGTTTATCCCTTGTGTTGTGTGAAATCAGTGTTTCCCCAGCCATTTTAAGATGTGTATACTTCAACTCCTAGAATTCCCCACCCAGCTCTAAGTCATTGATGGATGCAAGGTTAAACATTCAGCTCAAACTAGGTTCTTGAGGCCTAGGCCAGAATTCTCATTCGGTTTTTCATTCAGAATTTGTTTAGTTTGATTGCCTGCTAAAACTTCTAAAAATGTTTCAATTCCCTGAACCTAGTCTTAGCTCAGCCCCATAACTACTTTATCTTCCATTTGGGAATAATTCTTTTCTTATAGGAAGCAGACCGTCTTCACCAAAGGGAAGATGAGGAAAAGAGGACATTTGAAAGATGGAAGGAAGAGGAGAGAGCAAAGTTTCACACAGAAATGGAAGAGCTCAGGCAACTTTTCCTCACGGAAATCAAGGACTTTTCCAACAAAAATTCTCTCTTGGAAGGAGTAAGGAAAAGATATGGCTTGCAATTTTCCTATTTTCTTAAATATTCAACATGTTTGCCATCGTTAATTCAGTATGGACACAATTTTATTATTGAACTGAAGATATGAGATATATTGATAATATATGCCTTATTTATATATCAAAAAGATAAACATCAAATTCCTAGAAAAATGTTGGAAAACAGAGCAGTTTACATCATAGGATCTACTCCTGAATGTCTTAAACTAAGCTGGATGCAGGATGCTATCCACCAATTAGTAATCCCATCACTTTTTATTTAACATAAAATGATGAAAAGGTGCATTCTTGTCCTTTGCTGCAGATAGCAAAATTGATGGGCCAGACCTGACTAGGAGTAAGAAAATAATTATTCTGACTGATGGGAGCTTACCTCAAATGTCTGAATTCTTATGAAAACATTACCAATATTACAAGAATAATAGGTAGCTCCTTGATGTGATAGAGATGTTCTAGGCAATAAACATTTGATATCAAAAATTGTTTGTTTTCTCCATCATTAATTGGCATTCAAGTGCATGCTCTCCTCTGTTCTTCCTATCATATGTGAATGGGTTATTGGGAAGGAAGGATGAGCAGCTTTATGATCTGTGAGAAAGTGTAAAGCAACAATAAGAAGTCTTGTAAATCTATTTTGCTCAATTGTTCTCCAGCATTCTTCCTATAGCAGACAGTAGGTTGCCATATGAGTGATTGTGATAATATTTAGATCAGTATTTACCCAATCAAGATAAAACCTTGATCAGAGATTTAAAGATGCAGTTGGGAATTCTGACCCTTCTGACATATATCCATACCTCAATTAGGCTGCTGTATATAAGTATATGTGTCAGATGTTACATGTTACCTAGAGAAATATTTTTTTATTTTTCTGGCAGCTGCAGACTGTGGCACTTTGTCATAGATCACATATTCCTTCTGCAGAAACTTCAGGAATTACAAGTCAAGAGTGCAGTAGCCTCACATCTTGGGACATTGCAAGATGATGATTCTTTTGAGAAACAACAGTGGACAAAGACTCAGAAAGAATTACAAGGGATGAAGGCAAGGATTGAACAACAGGTAGGGGAACCTAAAAGAATAGTGCAGACTTTTCCAGTCTATTGTCCTTCAGTCATATTGAGACAACATCTCCAAGAGTTCCCAATCAACTCAACCATGACCATACTGACTCATTCTTCTGGAAATAATAATTTTGAGCTATTGTATAACAATAGATCCACTTACCACTTAAAACTAATTTAATCTTTTTTTATAGTTCTTTGGATTCAATAATTTTAGTTCTATAACTGTTGAAGAACATCAGAACCACTATGAACAGATGGTTCTGAACTTATTTATATTGATGTTTCTAAGATAATAATTTTTAATCAATAAAGTTATACAAGCTTCAATTTAAAATGAGAGATTCACACACAAACATATATACATATATAGTTACAAAGTAAGTTGTATCTATTGATGAATCCTGCAAAACTCACTTTTTAATAATATGATAGGAGCATCCTACATTAGTTCTTTCTCCAGGTTACTTGACCATGACTTCCAGCATTCCTAACTATATCCTAAATTCCTGAATTCTGTGTCTAGGAATACTCACCAGGAGAGCATCAGGTTAGGAAATACTGGTATGTGCTAAAATGGGTTTACAGATTCCTCAGTGAAACAAGGCATTATAGAACTGAATGCAATTCCCCATTCTTTAGTTGGTACTCTAATCAGATGCATCAGAAAATATGAAGACTGACATTTTTGCTAAGACTCGAATAACTTGTGATAGATAACTGGCAGATAACTGTCAATAAGGCTGGGTACTTTTTCCAATATTTATCAGAAAACCGAGTGGGAGTGGAAACTTAGAAAACTTCAGAAGGAGAATGAGAAAGAAAAAGAAAAGGTGAGTACACTCATTATTTTTGCAGCTTTTTCTGCTAGTAGAAAAATGAGGACATTGTATTCTATAATTAATGCCTATTCATTTAAGGCAGAGGGGGCAGGAGGAACTGCCATGGAGAGGAAATAAAATATCTTTATCATCCATTATAGACAAGGAGATTAACTGATGGCACACCCTCCACCATGGTATAAAGAGGATTATAAGTAGCCAAAGCAAATCTGAAGGGTCTCCCTCCCATGCCCACATATGCCCACCACCTACATGTTGGATATAGTATGTGTAGATACTTTAAATGTAGGTGGTGGGCATATGTTGCATGTTCATAAAGGACAGCAAAATCTACAGATATAATCCCATTCCCTCCACGTTTATATCTGTATTATATTTCAGTACAATGCTTTGTTGTTTTATGGTATGATTAAGCAATAAGATTCAGAATAATGCAGCTCACACTTGAAAATGGGTCTCATTTTGCTGTGGGTGGGGGTGGGTGGATCAATCAATTGATCAAGATTGTATGCCTTCATTGTGAAATCAGATTCTAGAGATATTAGAGCATAGACAACTAAGTCCATTTAGTTGCAGCCTGCACAATTGCATTTCTAACCATTTGTCTCTATTAATGAAGTGTTTAATTGAATGGAATAGTCTTTATACCCAAATGTTATTTTTCTGTCTCAGCTGAAGAATGAGAATGAAAAACTCAGGTCTTCCTTGTCTTCTGACCAATCTAAAATGGCTGAATATAACAAGAAACAACTTGCCTCTCTTATGACACAACTCAGAGAACAAGCTGGTGTCATCCAATCTCAGGAGAATACAGTAAGCTGAATACAGTTATTCTGAGAAGTTATTTATATTCTTCAATTTAGAGAAGAATTTGTGTTTGTTTTCAAACTAGAACACTCCTGTATTCTGAGAATCAAACTATACTGTTTACTAAAGTATAGTTTGACTCCCATGAGGCCGTTTCATATTTTATATGGGAACTCTGTCTTAATGTTCCCTTATTCCAAACACTTAATCAGTTGGGCAAAGTATGAAGGAAAAAATGTGATTTGGAAGATGTGTGGTTTTGAGAATACCTTAAATACTCTGGATTATGCATCAGTTGTGGAGGTAACCACTTAAATCTTGAAAAAGATATTGCTGTTTTAAGGTAATACCTGCAGATGCTACCTATATACTACATATGCTCCAAATCACAATTTGCCTTTGAATCCAATTTGTTGCACAGCCCTATAATCCAGATAATCTAATCACTTTGCTTGTGAGAAACTTTCACCCTACAATATACATGGCTTACACCAGAATGTAGTATTGCTTTACTTACTTTACACCCCTAAAGTGACTTGATATATTAGAAATAAATGAGTGGTCCTGCACTCAGGCATATAGGCTAAAAGGGAAGATGAGGATAAAAAATAAATTATTAGTCAATGGCAGAATAAAATGTTGAATTTTAAAGTGATATTAATATCCATTTGGGGTCATGTTGATCCTCCCTTGATTGTGTTCCTGCCTGAATAATATTTCATGGTTTTTGATCCTGGGATTGAAGGAAAGAGGCTGAAATGTGCTTTCCTTTAATTCTTCATTGAAGTAATAACTGAGTCTTGTACCTGGGAGAGATCAGAGAAAATTTTCTGTAACTGCTCCTTTTCTGGCCAAGTAAGCACTTCCTCTTGCTATGTCACTCCCTTCTTGATTGTGGAAGAGATATATGAAACATGTGAAACACATTTTATTTTGAAATGTGAGTAGTTACTTTGTAAACTGATTTACATTGTTATGTACCAGTCATATCAGCTAAATACTTATTAGACCTTGTAAATAATAGCTGACTTATTTTACATACTTATGTTATCTTTCAGATTAAGCTTCTGACTTCCAGCAAACCCAGAGGTAATGACCAATCCCTATATTGAATAACTGTCCATAGTAACAATAGATTTTCTTTCTCTTTTGACAAAACCATAGAATTCTTTAATAGCCACGGTTATTCATCCAGAAGGAACATCTATATAGTAACTCTCTCCTATTGGTAACCTTAAATTGGGTGAAATGGTACCTCATAAGTCAATAATTTTTGAATCAACATAACTTCAGATAGGCTAATTTAAAGAATGCATCCAAAATCTAGTCCCCATTGCTCCCATGGGATTGGAATTTGGCAAAGTTCTGGGTACTACAACACTGCAATCACATAATCATAATTTCCAATGCTCCCTGTCAGCATCCCATAAAAGACGTCAGTGGAGAAGTCCACTCCTGTTCTCGTTGCTTTTTTGCCCACCCATAGTCATTCTTTTTCTCTGTTTAGATAAGGAAATATTTCTGAAATGACCAATGGATTGCAGGTTGTCTAGTAAAATATGAAATTCCACATGATAACAAGAGAAAGCAAGAGAAAAACAATATACAGATATTCATTGCCATGCTTAGGTTTGCTGAACAATTTGTAATAGAGTATGGTAATGTTTTTAAACCTGTACAAAAACCTAAGATTCATTTACATTGTTGTTATTTCTCTGTCCCCCACTTCTCTCTTTTCACTTTATGCATGCAGATGAGATAATTTATCATAATATAAAGTGCTGGTTCATGGGTTTTGCAGAGAGTACAAGTGATAATACTTTTCATTTGGCCCATTTTTTCCTATAAGTTTTCTTAATGGAATATTTTCCTGATGCTATTTGCTTCAAATTGCTTTCTCTTTCCTTTTAAAAGAGCTGGGCTGGAGCCAAATTAAGTTACACTTAGTTCCATTAAAATAATGGCTAACTCGTCATGTTAATGCCATGACAATGTCAAAGATATGCTTGTGTTTTGGAATATGAATATAGGCTTTTTTTTAAAAAAATTGCTTTTAATTTCCAGAAATCCAACAAGTACCCAAGACAGAAAAGCTGGAAGAATCCAGTGAAGAAGGTATATTTTTTATAAATTTCACCTCCCATTGTTCTTATATGCTAAATATTACTATTACACAGAGAGAGAAAGAGAAAGAGAGAGTCTGACTATTCAGAGATACTTTCTGAGATGCTGAGAAATTCTTGTAGGTAAGGAAAAGACAGTGTAGAAATTGATAGTTATGGAGTTCTAGTCATGGATCAGGACTATATTAAATCCTGATTAGGACTATATTAAATCAAGCACTACATGAGATCACTATATTTTTATTTGGTTGTCTCTGCTGTCCGGAATAAATGAAGGAGCTAAGACTATTTTCTTGAATATTACAGAAGCTATCTCCTTCAATGGCAAATAAAATTAAAGTTGGATGAAGACTATTTTTGTTTGTTTGTTTGCTGAAATAGATGTTTAAGTGGCAGTTTTGAGATAGGGTATAAATGTAAACATTCCAGCATTGGGATTTTTAACCATCCTTTGGTTTCTGCAGAACTAGATGATACTTTGGACAGGAAGAATAGAGTTCTGGAAACACTGCGGAAGGATCCAAATTTGTTGAAACAATTCCGGCCAGTTCTGGAAGAAACACTTGAATATAAACTGGAGACCATGGGAGTGAAACGAGTAAGTTAGAAAAGGAACATTTATTTACTAGACTTACTTTGAATTTCAGCTGGATGTGATTTTGAGGATTGCGATATATATTGATTTAGGAAAAAATGTGATGTAAAATTATACTCATCTTTGAACACCTGTTCAACACATTCACATGCTTGACAGAAAATTGAAAACACCCCAGCATCTCCCTCTCCTCCTCCTCTGAACCTTTTTTCAGGAAAATGGCTTGCCCAAGAAACTGCTTTTTCTTTTGCCTCCAAAAATCAGGAAGTGCTAATTAAAGAACATTCTTTTAAGATTCATTCTTGACTTCTTTGCCTCAGTATTTGCAACAAACCAATAAAACACAAGGAAATAAGCTATGAGATCAATGTATTTGGAAAAATGCATTCTTGCTTATGCAATGTAGCTGTTGCAGGGAATGTGGAAATACTTAAGATCAAACAGTTATATTCAAAATAGACAATAACTATATCATGAACTAATTTATTATTTTTCTTTAACTGTGATATTGCAAAATTTAAAACAAACTTCTGGATTGTCTCACATTTTTACTTTCATAGCTAGATAGATCTATCAGTGACATGCATCTAAAGCAAATAATGTGTCTTCAGGTCCCTCTCTTTTCCTTTGACTTAATTGCTATATAAAAATTAGATAGCAGTAAAAATAATAAAACACTTTATGACTTTAATGGTCTGCTGTCAGTAATTATTATTTTCCTATTGCAAAGTAATGCTTTGTTTGAAATCAGTGGTCTTAAATTGCATAGTTATATGCAATTCCCTTTAGAATTAATAGATGGCTTTACATTAACTTAGCTGGCATCCTCTCATAGCTAGTAAAATGATAGACTTTCAAAGCCTCTTCTTTCTCCAAAATTCTGTTCAGGTTAGAGTCTGATTCCTCAAAACACAATCCTTGTTAATCTTCAGTTTTTTTCCCTCTACCCAGGGAGCTTCTTCAGTGGTCCTCAGTCCATCTGGAACTAGCATATTTTTGGCAGCCAAAAATGCCTGTATCCCATTGACTTGCTGACCATCTTCTTTTCCTCCCCATGTGTCCATCCACAAGTCCTTTTCTATGAGCCCCTTAGTCTATTTCAATTTTCTTCCCACTCTCCATGAGAGTCCCTCTTTCTGTTTCATTCCCAGCTATTTTCTCCCAGACACAGCTCATCTACCTGGGAGATCAGATGATAATTATGCTCCTTTTGTGATGGATTTAAGATTGGAACACAGTTGTACAGCAGTTTAATCTTCCTTGTTTCCATCCTTTTTAATTCAGCAGCAACTCTTCAAAGGAGTTGAAACCAAGTTTTCCACCTGAATAGAGGCTTCCATTATTTACATTCAGCCTAATACAAGGAATCCCCTGTATAAGAGGTTGTCAGGAACTTATTCACTGCATGAATGATGATAGCAGGGCTCACACACATACATATACTGATTAGAAACATTTGTTCTGTTTTATAGGGTACAAAAGGTATCCCAGCTCAAACCTATAAACATTTGAGAGCTTTGATCAAAAAAGAGCAGCAGCAGAAGGCTAAAACATTTCCAGCTCTGCTAACCTTGAGAGATAAACTTGAAAAAGAAGTTCAGAAGAAAGCCATTCAGAAGGATGAAGAGAATATGTCCTTGACGTTTTCTTCAATCATTGGTAAGATGCTTAGTTATATTATTTAGAAACATAACATGTATTTTATTCGATTAATATTTTATCATTTTGTGTAAAAACAGCAAATCTTAAAATATCTTAAAAGACTAACAAATTTAATGCTTAAATGATGCTCTGCTCCCTGACTCTAATGTTATAGATATTTGTTTTTATAATTTTTTCAAGATAAGATTAAATTAATCTAAAACCTAATTTATAAATTTGGAGTTTATATATGTACATGAAAGGACCCTCCTCAAAAAAAAATCATGGTTACTTTTACAGCAGATGGATTATATGATTCCATAAGTTCATAAGCTTTAATCATTCAGATTATGAAAGCAGCAAAGTTTAGTAGCATAGCACATACATGCTACTACATGTATGTGTAGTATACGTAGCACATACATGTATACGGTATCAGATATTAAAGGTATTAAATGGTTTAGTAGAATCACCAACATAAATTCCAGAAACTTCATAGATGTATTTTGTGTGATTTTCTTGACAGGAATGTGGAAGTGGATTCTCATGGCCTTCTTCCATTATGTTTTTGATTTTTGAATCTAGCTTTTAGGCTGGCCATTCCCTCAAATTCTCTTATCCAAGTACTAACTAACCTGACCCTTCTTAGTTTCCATAAGCCAGATGCCATATGTTGTCACTTGCTGAGATATAAAACCCATAAGTATAAACCAAATCGTGTGAATAAAATTCACAAAAGCAGAAATAAGAAGGCAAATATTCAATTTCTAACAGAAGTTGTAGATTGATGCTATGTAAGATTACATTGCACTCCAAAATGTTTTTCTCCTTTTCTCCTATTATTCAGTCCTAATAATTAAGAACAAAACAAAATAAAAAATGACATAGAACAATAATTGAGAGAGATACAATCTTGAGATATCCTAAATTTTAAGCATATTCAGTATTTTCTGTACAAAAGGTTATTTGTATCAATAAAAGTAATTAATAAGAAATAACCTAGTTTTTTATTTTATTAAATTTGTTTGCTACCTGTCTTACCAAAGGATAAGTCTGAGCAGCTTAAATGTTAAAAATGATAAAACTATATAAAACATGTATCTAATAGAAACAAAATACTATAAAATACTAATTGTACAAAAGTACAAATTATTATAAAGAACTAGATGAGAGTGAATCCTTAACTAAAGACTTTTTCAAGTTCTTGTTATGATAGTTGCTTGGTCCATGCTGTTTCCCACACTTCTTAATATCCAGGAAAAAGCATACTTGGTAATCATGGTAGTAAATGCATTTTTTTTACTAAATATTCTTCTGTCCATTATAAAAATCATGCTTCAAAGAGGGTTCAGATCTTTCATGAAGATTGGGAGATAAGCATTTAAATTCAGTTAATCCAGGACACTTTTCTACAACAGAGTGAGCCATTAAAGTGCAAAAGGTTTGCGTATATGTACGTGTGTCTGCAGTTGCAGAACCTGAGATTCTGGCTTTAATATTAAATCTGTGGATCAAGTGTATAAAAAGGCAAGAATAGATAATTAATTTTTGCTAGTGGGGAGATACGTATTGTGAGATTACTTGCTGTATTCAGGATCCATCAGTGACTCAGGTATGAACACGTAAGAGGCAAATAGATCAAAACAATTTATGTGCAATGTTTGAGTCAGCTGGATAATTGAAGCCAAATCACTAAGAGGATTTTTACTTAGGCTTCTTGCTTCATTTGGTTTCTGGGGCAAACATAAAACTTTTGTCATGTTAGAACTGCAAATCCTGCTTTTGTACTTGCATTAATGCTATTAAAGGTTATTCACAAAGCAAAGGAGATATAAACCTTGCATTTTAAAAATGCTATGAAATACTCAGTAGTTCAGTTGTAATCGTTTGATGTGGAACTCTTTAACATTGAATCTTTGAGACCCACATTAAATACCAAACAGATTGGGGTTTTTTATTAAATGTTTTCATTTTTTTCCTTCAGAAAAAAACCAAAGAGACCAGCATTCTCCACTCCAGGTTACACCTTTGAAGATTGGAAGACACCCAGTGGAAGTACCATATTATGCCCTGAAGACACCCAAGCCAGCTCCTCGGAGCAAAGTTAGTTCCATGACTAGTTCAATAGAGATTCCAAAGGTACCATCTCCAAATCAAATTAGAAGCAATTCACCTTCTCTTCAACAATCTGCTGTCCACTTCCCCAGGTGAGTTCTGGATTATAATTGTATTTACCTGATTTGATGTTTTAACCTGTGCACGATTTTATTATAATTAAAGTGAATTATTTATTTATTGAATTTAAATAGTCACCCATTCATTTCAATGAGACTTAGGAAGCTTACCTACCGTAGTAATTGCAAATGTGCAAAATAGTCAATGAAAAAGCTTGTAAAAACTTTGATAGTCACTGACTCAGCTCATTTGACAGACAAGTGCAGACATAAATTCCACATTCAGGAATGCAGTATGACTTTCTGTTGTGTACAAACTGAGAATATTGCATTTCTCTGCTAGAAATAACAAAAGTTTAAAATTTTCTTTTAAAATGAAATAAGTTTCTGGATGGAGACTGGAAAAGAGAAGAATTTAACATAGCTCTTTAATAGCTTCTAGTTAAAATAGAATCTCTACAGAACTTGGAGAAAGTTTCATTAAATAAAGCAGAGGAAGTTTTGCTATGAAAAATTAGTAATTTGGAGAAAATATAAAGTTGATTTAACTTTTTTCCTTTTTTCTGTGTGTTACCTACTCAAGTTGAAATTCTGTATTTCTCTGTGCAAGTTAGGGAATTCTGGGTATTTCCAGTCTTTAGCCTTTCTTCATGTAGAGTATCACAATATTAGTTGTTTTTGTGATCTGTAAGAGAAAAATCTCCTGCAGCATCTCTCCAGAAGGTATACTTTTCTTCTATTTTGTAGCCTTCTTGTGATCTGCCTGAAGCACTGTGCTTCCTTTTTCAGTATAGCTTTTGCAATTTATCCTTTTTCATCAACTATTTTGCATTTAAATATTTACATTCAATAATTTATCTCTGCATATCTCTTTTCTTTTAAAATATTTTTTGTTGTCCAGGGTTGGATTGGTCTATCTACCAAGAAGGGAAGAAGTTGAATTATCTAATACCTCGATGCTAAGTAACCATATAGTTGCATTTTTGGCATGTAATTGCCAGAAACAGCACAGGTTGTTATGGCCTTTTCTTTCATATACTTATGAGAAGGATGCCAGACATGGCATTCCTTGGCAGATAAATGTTTTAGCAAGAATTACCAAGCCACCTCTTCCCAGTAGGATTGGGACCACCTACTTTCTCCCCTACAAGCTCAATCAGTCTGCTACATTGATTTTTGTGAGGTATTTTAGTGTTTGTTTCTAAATTGTTTGAGTTTATCTTTGAAAGAAAGGTGGGACATGTTTTCACAAATAGGTCATTGATATTGTATTTCCTAGCTTGGCTACTCTGAAAGTACTTCAGATTCTATTAGAAAAGTTGTAAACTTTCTTAGAATCTCACAAAGCACGGTCTCTATTATAATTTATTGGTTTTATTCAGTTTGGACACTTCTTGACTCTAGATTGATTCTGGGCAGTTCACAGCATAATGAAACAATAATACAATAAAATACAATATAAAATTTTCATAATATTTATTCTTTTTCCATTTTCCCTTCTATTGTGTTTCTTTCCTTCAGTACTTCACCTTTCAGCTCTGAGACTGAAGAGTCAGAGGAAGAAACAAACATGAGCTCTCCAAAACACATGTCCCTCAAGACAGAACCAAAGCAGAGCAAACCTGTCCCCAGAGCAGCACAGGTGGAAGAGAGTGAGTGGGATTCATCTGACACAGACTTTTCTAAGGAGAAACTTGGTGCAGGAAAGAGTTCTTCAGTTGCAGCAGGAACTCATTCAGGTGTCTATCATTTAGTTGGATTTATTATTGTCATAATGTATGAAAATGTCAGTGTCAAAGAAGTAAAAAAAACACATCCAAATACTAATATATGTATCAACTATTTCAGTAATCAAATGATTACTATGAACGGGACAACAGTTATCTTGTTATACATTTTTAATGGGCTTAAATGACAGACAACTGAATTTTGGTAGTTGCTATTTTAATACCAATGTTTAGTAAATGAATACTAAGTGAATTAAATACTACTAAGGGGATTTGCCAGGGTGTGTTGCTATAATATAAGCTGTAAAACATACATGATTGTTTTTATAAAATTCAGTAAGACACAAATTAATAGTAGTTTAGGCTAAATAACTTTTCAAATAAAGTAATCATCTCCTGTGAGGCCTAGTACTATACTGAAAGGCTAGTACGATCATGTCACCACTAATTCTGAGCCTAACTGATTCCTTGCTTCACTTAGAAACACTAGTGCAGTCAATGGCTAAAAATCTGGAGAAGAAACTGAACATACCTGTAAAGAAGCCTGTAGGTGGCGTGAAGCTCTTTGCCGTCCAAAGCAAAGATGATACTAAAACAAATCATCCCACAAAAAAGCTTCAGGTATTGGTGTTGTTTTCAAAACTCAAGACTGTAGTAGGTAGTCTCTTAATTTTTCTTCCTAACAGTACAGATCTTGTTCATAACTGATTCACTGGTAGCATGATCTGCACATTTCTAAGAAAGTTATATTGTACTCTGTAGGCCATAGTAATAATGGGTTTAAGATTATTTACAAAAAGTAAAAAGATCAAGATAGTGAATACTTCAAAAGTAGTCAATATGTTATCAATGAAAGGATTGTTCATTGGGTTAATCTATAATTTTAGTTAAGTTGCCTAAAGATTATGAGATCTACCACATCTCAGCAGCAAAAAATCAGATGGCCAACACATGTCAGGAAAGAAATACAGAAGATATTTTGATACCATGTAGTAATTGTCTAGACTTTTGTAGCCAGGATCTGGTAGCCCTACTTTATAAACTCTCAGGTATTAAAGCTTTGAGTATAATATTGAGCTTAATGTTTTCGGTATACCTGAACTTAATATGTTTCTAGAATCCATATTTGTTTTCTATGACATTATTATTTATAAACACACATATACTAAATAACAAATATCTAGTGCCCTCCATAACACTGGAAATACAACTTATAGATTTCTAGGACCTAAGACTCCTTACATTGCCAGCACAGATAGAGAGCATCAGAAAGAGAAGGACTGCTACAAATAATTTGTGAATATGCAAGGCAAGGTAGACATGGAGAAGATTTATCTATGTGGTTGTTAAGAGTCAGCAATGACTTACTGGCATGTAATCAATTAATCAAAAGTAGATACTTTTAATAGCTAGAGACAACAGTTATTTTTAGTTTTTACCTAAAGGGCCAGGAACAACATGGGGAGGAAATGATATGAAATGTTAGGGCCATAGCAGCCATTAAAGCTGACCAGTGGTTTTCATCCAAGTGCTGGGTAAATGACTTTGTTTTTTATATTTGACACATTTTTTACAAGCCTGTAGGCTTACAATGCAGTTTCATTTATTTCCCACCTCAACATCATGGGAAAATTGGTAAATGTTGAAGTGCTTCAAGGGGCTACAAAAAAGGACTTGGAGCTAAAGGTTGTTCACTCCTGTCTAAATTGGTGAATGCCTGCCTAAATTGGTGAATGTTGTATGAATTCATTGATAAGTCATTCTTATTTAGACATTCATGTGCAATGTCTAACAGCATAAAAATTCCTCAGAAATAACATATTTTTAGAAATAAATATTAAAATATATTTTAACAAGTTTTTACAAATGTTCATCTTAGTGAAAATGTTCTGTTTAAATGCATATATTTCTAAATCTGTGTTTTATAAAATTCAGTGAAACATAAAATCTGAAGGGTAATTGCAAATGAAATATTTTTATTTACAAGTATCAAATCATTCATGCATTTCTTGGTGCATCCAACCTTTGCAAGTTTTCATTCCTTGTTCTCTGTCTTCTCTTTTCTTCCTGATGTAGTTTGCCTATGAGGAGGACAGTGATTTGGAGATTTCTTCTTTGGAGGAAATCAGCCAGCACCTGGAACCTGAAACTAAGATAAAGAAGCCACAAGGGGCAAAAGTTAGTGAGAGCTCTACTGGATTACGGGGCACCAGTATCTGGACTTCCAGTAGCACAAAGGCCTGGTGATTCCCATGGTTAGATAAGTACAGAACCCAGTTGAGATAGAAGAACATTCCATGACAGAGAAATCATGGGATTTGATAATCACAAAGAAAGAACAAAAACACCAAATACCAAAAGTATCACATTCAAGGTTCTAGGTTCTGTACATAGTTTCAAAACAAATATTTAATTAACATGAGTTCTTCCAGTGGTTCTAGACTGATTTGTTCTTTTGCTGAAAGTCAGTCTTGACATGACATTATAAATTAAATTTTGTCCAGAAGACACAAGCCTGATTCTTACATCATGCACAGCTATAATGTTGTATATTTGGGTCTGACTTAGTGTATGTGAACCCAACCTTCATGTACCATGGGATATGATTTAGCATTATATTATTGTTTTTAAAAAGCATATCTTAGTGCAGTATATAAATGCAGCAGTAGATGAAGGCTGAATCAGACAGCAGTCATGGCATCATAGCCTCATTTGGGGGTTGTAATGAAGTTTACAGTACACCTTTCACTGATGTTCTAAGTGAATTTAAGTGACAATAAGAGGGAAAGAGGTATAATTCTTGTGGTCCACTTAATGGGAAAAAAGGCTTTTGCTACATTGTGCTGTGATACAAAATCTACTTTGGAAAAAAAATGTTTCTGAAAAAAATCTGAGTTTATGCAATTAGGCAATTTTTTTCTTTCTAGTACTGCGATGCAACTTTTTTCTATTTTTGATAAGTTTGTGAATAGCCATAAAAATAAATCAAATGGAGAGGCTTCAAACATTTTTTTATCCCGTCAGCCTTCAGTTTCATTCTTACCTTGATTGCACTTCAATGTACAGTAATTCTGAAGGGCAGTCTACTTATTTAATTCTGAAATACTTCGAGAATTTTCAAAGTATTTGTCTATTATTTTAGGTAGAATTACACTGAAAATGCTAAAAGTATTTCAGAATTAAATAAGTATATCTGTGAAATAATATAGATCTGACCTTGGGACAGGGGAAGAGAACAATAAATCATTAAAAGAGAAGAAAAAAGTTTTCAGAAAATGAAAACTTAAAATATACCACCACCCTTAACTTTGTCTGATGCAAGGTGCGACAGACAGAAAAAAATCTGAGTGGCTTTCAAGATTATGTTATTCTACCCTACAACAATACTGAGCATTCCTGGAATCCATATTGCTCATGTTTCATAACTTTCCTATCTTGAAGGGTTGACAATATCATGAACCATAATTCATTAACCACAATTTAAAATGTTGGAAATTAATGATAATCATTTAAGAATAATAGTTAAGCAGTTGGAGTAGGGTTGGAAGAATCCAGATTCAGGTTCATTCTCAGTCATGAGAGCTCACAGTGACTTTAGGCCACCCCCTGGCTCTTAAGTCCAATCTAACACACAAGATGGTTGTTGTGAAGATAAATAAAGATGGGAGTGTTGTGACTGCTATCTTCAGCATTAGGAGGAAGCATGGGATATGATATATTCATCCCATAGTCATTTCCCAGTTGGATTAATGCCATGGACTCTACGTAGGGCTACCCTTTAATATGCCCAGAATGCAGCAGTGCATGCTATTTTGGGTGTACCAAGGTTTGCCCAAATTACATTATTGTTGCCCAAATTTCATTGCCTGGTTCATTATGGTTCATGATATTGTCAACCCTTCAAGATTTTTTCAGTTTTTTTTTCATCTTTAAAGTCTTGCATGGTATAGGGAAAAGTTATTTCTAGGATCACAACTTTCCAAGGATTGCCCATCCCACCAGATCTGACAAGGTGAGCACAATCCCGATCACCCTGGGCCCTAGTTGATGTGCCTTCTCTGTTCTAGGATCTTCCATTGGAACAACTACTCCCTGATTCAGAAAGCCCCAACCTTCTTAGCCTTCTAAATGCTCTGAAGACCTAACTCTTCCACCAGAAACTGGATGTTTGTTGCACCCAATATACCATACTGTAGGTGCAGTTCTTTTGACAGTTTTATTATGATACCTTGCTTGATGTATTATGCTTGTTTATAGATTTTTAAAAAAATATATTTTCTGGGATTTGTTATGAGGTATACAAGATTATCCATTTAAGATGAACAGCTATATAAATGTTAAAAATTAAATTTTATATATGTTTTATAAACATAAAGAAATACAGTATGCTTTTTCAAGCACAATAAGGATGAACCACCTTTAAGTATTGTTCTCCTAAACCACTACTAATAGGAACTGACTTATAGTTACATTGGTTTCCAATGATGCATAAATCCTCCATGATGTGAAATGAATGCTGAGAGCTGGGATATCTACAGAAACCTCTTCTTATCCCAGGGAAGATACTGGGAGGTTTATGTCATCTTCTCTGATTAAGATTATTCCTGGGCAATTGTTGCAATGTAGTTGTTTTTCCCTGACTTCTCCCTTATCCCAAAAAGATGCTAATCTCTCTATTCAGCAAGCAAACAAATGCTCCTGTACTGACTCTGGACTTTTTGCTATCCTGACAAATCTCCATTCATGGCAAGTTATGGAATGAGATATCTTCTGGCTTGAATAAGTCAGGCTGATCTGAACATTAAGTTTTTCAGGGGTCCCCACTTCTGCAGATATTTTTCTGGACCCTATTCTTCTTAAAATGTGGACCCTTCAATGTGGTCAGGCTTGCTCATAAATTATAACTTAATTTGAGGAGCTCTAGAAAATATATTTGAAACTGAAAAGTTGCTGGCAATTGCCACTTGATGGCACCATGTCTGAAGAAACATGCAATGTTTTCCTTGAGACTTTGCAAACGATATTTGCAATAAAAAAGGGTTTTCCCCCTAAAGCAAAGCATATAGAACTTCCAAAAGAATAATAGTGAACAAGCTATCCTATACCTGTGTCTAAATTGAAAGTCAGAAAAATAAAACTTTTGCTTGATTCTATTTTATCCCATCCTTAATATGCTTTTTCCTTAATGAGGTCAATGTTACAAAAATTTGCTCAAAACAATATCTCCCAAGAATACGTAATTTTAAGCATAACTAGATTTCTCAAAATTATTGTATTGAAAAAAAATGGGGGGAAAATCAAATTGTACCTAGAAATGTTCGGAAAATGTTCAGTGGCTATATTTGAAATAGTAAAAATGAGTGTAAAATACTGTAGTGTAAATCAAAAATTTTCATGCTATGATGTAAAATACTGAATGTCTTATGCATATGACAATTTATCTTTTGGGGGAGGGAGAGAGAAAATGAGATCATGACTGTACCCTAAAGTCATGTTTTAACCACAGAGCTTTGTAAGTGAATATTTATAAATAATATTTATAAATTCTTAAAACTGTAAAGCATCAGACAGTGTTTCTGAGAAAAAGATATCCATATGTTTGCTTTTTTTCCTGATGTAAAATTAGGTACAGAGGTTTTTGGAATATTTCTAATGCAGAAAAGCAGTGTGAAAAATTACAAGTCATTTGTATATCTGGTATATTCCTGGTTTCATCCTATTACAAAAGAAATTACTGAATGGATTTAACAGTTTTCATGATGAGGTAAATGTTTGGATTATAATATTAATACAAAATGTATACAAAGTGCTGCATAAGCTGTTCTAACGTATCATTGTATACACATTCAATTGCAGAGACATATTTATATGAAAGATTAAAGCTATATTTGTATCATCAATAGTTTTCTATGCATATGTGTTATGCCATAAGTAAAATGAGGCAGTAGAAAACAAAGTAAAAGGGCTCCTAAGTCCTGTAAAATATCTAGAGATATTTTAAGGGGGAGCAGTTTTTGTTTGTTTTTTGTCTCTCATTTCTTTGTCTAAGTACGATCTGCAAGTGTCATGTGTTCTGAAGGCCAGCTGATTTTTATTTTTCACATATGCTGTGACTGGAAATCATAAAAGTCACACAACTAGGAATTATTGTAGCCTCCTAAAGTTGAGAGAGGCTGGACTAGACAATCCCAGCATGACTTTTCTTTGTATCACTATTAACTTCTGCTGGTTGAGAACCCAGAAACTTGCAGGATATTGTCTCAACTGGCTCTTTAAAATTTTCATCCTTTTCTGCAAAGAACCGCTTGGGAATCCTAAGCTTTACAACAGCACTATGAATGGAGAAACTGGATAAAAAATAATTTTACAATCATGACCAACAGTAGACATTGGAATATTATTCCATTGTTATTTTTTTAAAATACTGAAGATAATGGCATTTTTAATTGTAGAGAAGAAACAACTTTTGAGGAAAAAAACCTACAACCTTCTGTTAAATGGCAGTTCTACATATATAATCACAATAAAGGAAATGTAAACAATTATTCTTTTAAAAGAAGGGGGCTAAGATATAGATATACAATATATTTTGAGATGATTCTAGCAAATACCAACTAGAATTTATTTTCAAACAGTTCCTCAAACTAGCAAAATACAAAACAAGCATCTACCTGGAAACAAAACTAAATATGAAATGACTACAAAAAGAATATAGTATGAACCAATTTTTTAAAAAAGTATCATTAAATATCATTTAATACATATTAGAAGCAAATAAGATTTCGAGCTTGCCACAAGGTGGTGCTTTTTAGCCACTTAGGTATGAAGTGAAAAAAATAATAGGCAACCTGTATGGCTTTGTAGTTCTATGCAACAAGTATTTGACCATTTAGTTCTATACAGCAAGTATTTGACCACTTCCAATCTGTTTTTATAAAATGTTTCTTATTTAGGATGTCTGTGTGAGCCTGTATCTTTCCATAACTTGTTTCTGTAATCTCAAAAATTCTAGCCAAAAACGTGATTGCCAGTTAAGAAGTTGGGATCTGTGACCCCAGTACACAATGCAGCCAGTTTGGTTCAGGCATCAGCCTAGAAATTGGGCAACCATGAGTTTAGTTCCAGTTTAGGAATGAAGCCAGCAGTTGACTCTGGATTAGTCATTCTCTTTCAATCTAGGAAGGAGGCAGTAGCAAACCACTTCCAAAAAATCTTGCCACCAAAATTTCAGGAACTTGTTCAAGTAGTCATATGAGGTAAAAAATCTAGCTCCAAAATATGTGAATATATAGAAAAGTTTATATATACATACACTTGCACACATTTATATATCAGTTCTCCTATATGTTCTCTGGCTAGTCCAAACATGCATTATACCACAACAAATTTTTAATGAGATACTTAACATCCCATTATTCCTTTGGAATTGAAATTTTCACAATGTGCATAACACTTCTATTCCCAAGGTTTTGGTTGTTGCTGTATACCTACAATCACGTGATCATGATTTCCAATGTTTCCTGCCAGCTTCCCACAAGCAAAATATATAGCAAAGTCAATTGGGAAGCCAGCAGGAAATAAAAAATCACTTCCAATCCCAGTGCATTATATTACAACAATTTTAATCAAGATACCTTCAACTTAAGGAATGCATTAAAAAAACTAGAACCCATTACTCCTGTTATTTTGGTCATGTCAGACTGCATTACCTTTCTTTCAAAAGATGACCCAAGAGGGCCTGGTATATATACATACATACATACATATATTTGACTATCTTGATTACATCTATCCATCCCACCAATCAGCCAAGAGAGGTCCTGTCTTCAAAGGAACTCCATCTG